GATTTAAATATTATTTTATTATATTATAATTAAATCTTTAATTTATTTTATTAGGCTATATCACACATTATAATACTAGAATGCTTGCAGAAACAATTAATATATTATATCAATAGTCTTCAGATAAAGATTTGCTTTGTGCTGTTCATGAGGGGTATCAACAAGCTTATGATTTGGCAAAAGTTCTTTCAATGGCTAATTAGAATGAAAAAGTTTTTGGTTTTTTAAATATTTCTAATGGGCAATCAAACCAGTTGGATAATAAAAATAATGATTTTTTTGACTATTTTAATGATTCGATCCAAAGTAATGAAATATCAGATTCACATGCAATTGCTATAGTAGCAAACACTATGGCTGATTTTAATACTATAGAGATCCGTGATGATAATTTTGAAAATGATTTAAAAGATGCACGTTTTGAGTTAACTTTTTCATTGTCAGATGCAAATTTTTCAAACAATCATGATTTAGAGACATGTAAAAACTTTTATACTGGCATTACCAAAGCAGAAACTTTAGATATTTCTTACTTAGTTAACTTATGAAAAAATTATAAATGTTATAGTAACCAGGATATGGAGCAAAAGACTATTTGTAGAATTCAGAATTTTAATCATATAAATACTGTTTCTCCAAATACAATAAGTAGTCTAATTGCAAATCGTATATCAAATATTGAAATATCACGAACTGAGAAATTATGTGGAATTTAGTGAAAAAATCATTGTCGTCTATCTGTATTATCAAGTACAAATAAAAAAGTTGGTAAGTAATAAATTATGAATAATAAATTATAAAAATAGTTCTAATGTTTATTTAATAAATTAATTTAAAATTTAGATCTAAATGGAATAACTGTTGCTAATATTGGTGAACATAATCCTCTTCGCAAGCATGGCTATGGATTTTCTTATATTAATCACAAACTTTGTCTTGTACAAATTTTAGCACTAGGGTGTGGCAACTTAGTGAAGTGGTGGAGTTGTCGCACCCCCAGACAGCAGGTCTAGAGTTCGAATCCCACATATAATGATTTTGAAAATACTAGATCTGTATCAGTTAATGTTAAGATTATCAGTTGGATTCAGATATCTGTAATCTTGGTCATACCATCTTGAATGTGAGCTTTGGCGCAATAAATCCAGAAAACCAGAATTACTGAAAACCTGTTTGGCAAGTCCCGAGTAGAGAAGTAGTATGATCTTTGATGATGCTACAGGAAGACCGAATTTGGAATTGAAGACCAAGACTGGAGAACCAAGCGACCAGGTCCTTAAGTGGGGGGACACACCAGCTGAACCGCTGGGTCACCAACCGG